GCACTGTTAAACGGGAAGACATCGAGCACCTCAAGGTTTTCCTGCGCTGCGCGAAGCAGCTCCAAAGCAAGTTCTACTTGACCATGCCTCTGGCAAGCGCGGATCGCCAAGCCAAAAGTCAAGGGGTCCAGTGCCATGGAAGAGCAACACAGTGCAGAAAAAAGGCCTGTAGCTTGAAGCCATAGTCCGCTTCGGTCACATGCACTGATAACACTGTTCAAGCTGATAGTGCTGGGTTGGTAGGCCTGATGGGCCATGGTTGCCAGCAGGCGGACTGCCAGAATCCAGCACGCTGAGGCAGAGCTCAAAGTCATTTGATCCATACCTGGGCGGTTGTCAAAATTATGGTCCCTTTTGGATCCCTATTATAATCCTATTATAATACGGCACCTAGTATTTAGGGTACCCAAAAAGGGACCCTAATTTTGACAACCACCCACCTATCCTCGAAGCCTCCATCCGCTGAATCAAGTCCAAGCCCAGGGTCCAGCATACATCTGGCAAGGCTTTCCTTGGTTGCTGTTAAGGGTTTAGGGGTTTAGGGTTTAGGGTTTAAGGTTTCAGAATAAGTTACCATAATGGACATATATATATATAGGAATGATTAAGGCTTCCCCGATATAGTAACTTAACGTAAGTTCCCTAAATCCTTAGGTTACCGCAATTTTCGTTTCATTTTCCATTATCTTGTCCGTCTGATTCTCCAGTATGTGGGGATAATATAACTTAAATTCGGTTCCTTAACAGCAACCCAGTTTCAAAGTGCTGTTGTAGCTGATGGTGCTTGGAGGAACTGGCATGGTGGCCAGCAGGCATAGAGCCTGCGGCCAGAAGCCTTGTCCTGCATTCAGTGCAACTATAGGGTTTAGGGTTCAATGGGTTTAGGGTTAAATAGGGTTTAATAGGGTTTAGGGTTTAATGGAAAAGAAAATGGAAACTACTATTGAGGTTGTAGGGTTTAGGGTTTAGGGTATATTGGGGTTATATTAGGGTTATATAGGACTGTATAGGGCTATATGCGGTACTATAGGATTTTTATAACGGTGTATATTATATTGGGGTTATATAGGGATAACGGAAAAGAAAATGGAAACTACTACTTCGGGTTTAGGGTCTAGGATTTAGGGTTTAGGGTTTAAGGTTTAGGGTTTGGGGTTACATGAATGGAGATAGTGGAAGAGAAAATGGAAGCTACTATGATGGGGATTATATAGGATAGGGCATATGTTGGGGCTGAATAGGGATAATGGAAAATGGAAACTACTAAATTATAACTAATCAGTCCTGCATTCAGTGCAATGGTATAACTAACCGAAGTCAACCTCAGTCCACTCTGCGCGGCTGCGCGCATTAGATGGTGCATTGTTCGGAGCCAACTGCATCCCATGTCATCGCACATGGCATTGTAGCTGATGATGTCAGGGCTCAATTGATTGCACGCAGCCTTTGCCGACAAACTGACGCCCATGGACCACTGGCTGCAGCTTCCACACGCACTGATGGCTGCATTGTAGCTTAGCAGGTGTGACTGCAAGAGATGAAACTGAATGATGCCCAGGAGATTGGTGGCAAGCAGCCACCGCCCCGCTCCCTCACAAGCACTGATTGCAGTACTCATGCTGAATACATCCGGCGAAATGCTGTTGTTTCTTGCGGTAGACAGAAGCCATGCCGACACCAGCCAACGACTCCCTAAGCTGCTCATGCAGGTGTTGTAGCAAATGACATCAGAACGACACTTCACCTTGCTCATGTCCGCCAGTGCGCGCTGCGCTGCATGCCAACAGCCCTTCCCACAGGCACTGATTCCAGCACCGTGGAGGATAGCCTCAGCTCAAGGCGGTTCCCATTGCTTGAATGCCCCCGAATGTCAAGTGGTTAAAGTACATCGAGCACACACCCTAAAACCACAAAAGAATGTGGTGCATAAGAGAAAATATCGGACCCCAATATAGACGCAAAAATATTATGATCCTTATTATGGGAACCCCAAATGGTACCCCTAATTAAGAAAAGTAGCATCTGTCGTTATCAGCAGATTCGCCATCATTGCAAGGAGCCGAAGCGCCATGCTCCAGCGGCTTGCCCGGTCGCATGCCTTGACCGCGCTCGTGAAGCTGATCACGTCCAGTCGCACCCTGGAAGCCTGGGGGTTTCCCAAAATTAGGGACCCTAAAACCCATAATGAGGATTACAGTATTAAGGCTATCTTTAAAGGGGGATTATAGGGATTGTATAGGGGTGATATTGGGGATATATAGGCTTCAAGATTATGGTATTGTTGGGTCTATATTGGGGCCCCCCTATTTTGGGAAACTAGCGCCTCCATCAGGCCAAGAAGGCACACTGCCTGTGTCCACCGGCTCTGACACGCATGCTCAGTGAGGGCTTTGTTGTAGCCTGGGTTGCTGTTAAGGAACTTAAGTTAAGTTACCATAATGGGTATATATAGTAATTCACAAGGTTTCCCAAATATAGTAACTTAAAGCAACTTCCTTAAATCCCTATGTTCCCCCAGTGTCCATTTCATCTCCATGTTATTTTCCATTCGATTCTCCATTGTAGGAGGATACTAACCCTAGACCCTAAACCCTAAATCTTAAACGCTAGACCCAAAAGCCAATTGAGTTCCTCAAAATATAGTAGGTTCCATTCTCTTTTCCATTATCCCTCTATAACCCTATATAACCCCAAAACATTCCTTAACAGCAACCCAGTAGCAGACTACATCCCCAGGTAACCTTCTCCGCATTCTCAGGGACTTGCCTTGGCCTCCAAAGGTAGCCATGGCGCAAGCTGAGTAGCTTTTTTTTTTGGGTGGTTAAACGTAGTAAGATGGGGGATAATGGAAAAGAAAATGGAAACTACTATATTATAATAGGGTATATATTGGGGTTATATTGGGGTTATATTAAGTAGTTGTTTTTTTGGGTGGTTAAACGTAGTAAGATTATATTCCTTATATAAAATACTAGACCCCAAAAGGAGGATACAATCTTACTTTAGAATGGGTACAATAGTATCCCAAAATAAAATGCTACTCAGCTGAAGTTTCGAGCAAGGGTCACGGCGAATGAACGGGAAGTTCCCTATAGGTTTTTAGGGTTTAAGGTAACAGGGTTGAGGGTTTAGGGCAACCGGGGTTGAGGGTTTAGGGCAACAGGGTTTAGGGTTTAGGGCAACAGGGTTTAGGGTTTAGGGCAACAGGGTTCAGAGTTTAGGACAAAACCCCCCCCACTCCAGGAAGGCGGACCGCAATGATGCCTGGGCCACGGTGAGCAAGCGCCGCAGGGCCACAACATGGCGCCGCACCTCCACAGGACATTACACACTGGAGAGCCTTGCAAGGGTTTAGGGTTTAGGAGAGTGTTCACACCCTGCAAGGGTGGCAGCAGCAGCAAGTTCAAGGCAATATAACCCCAATATTCACCCAACGTACTATAGTAGTTTCCATTTTCTTTTCCATTATCCCCCAATTCTCCCAATATACCACCCAAAAACCCTAAACCCTAAACCCATTACATTAGCTTCCATTTTCCCAGCCTCTTCATCATCCATGGCATTGGTTTTAGCTTTGGCGGCGTTCAAGCGCTGAGCTGTGCGAGCCTTGGCCGAAGCGATGGCATTTGAGCTCTAGTCTAAACTCCTAGCATCCCCCTTTATAATGGAGAATCAAAT